TGCAAGGGACGAGCAGGAGGCTGATGCTAGTCGAGCGAAGGCACCGGGTGGTGGAGTGGAGAGTGAGGAGGTCGGAGTGGTAGGGAGATGCCAAAGAATGAAGGGTCACTGCACAGTATATACTTGACAGCATTTATCAGTGAAGCGTTTTGAGGCGTTTTGATGCTATAGACTTCAGATCAGAATTCAAGATCTTGGAAAAATTGACAGAACAGCCAGCCTGACTCATCGGCAGGATCTGGAAGGACAGACCCATCACTGGGGTTAGGGAATCCTCCCACTCAACTCCTATTAACCCTGCAAGCCAAAGCCCTCACAGATTGCGAAGTCCTAGCTGGACAAGCAGTGGGAAAGCTTGCCAGACAGTGCTATCAATGGCAAGCTATGCAGTTTTAGCTGGTTAGACTCTAGAGGTTACCCCAACGCACACTCTGGCTGCACCTAATACTTTCCGGAATTAGGTAAACAGGATACGTGCCTCCAGGGAGAGAGCGCAAATTCCATTCCAACAATCTATCTCTGGAATTTCCATGTGCAGGTGGGATGCATGGAATTCCCGGCTTGGTTTGGATACTCTTAAGCATGGTGATGGGTTTCCGCATGTGTCAGACACCCGGCTGACCCCCCAAAAAGAGTTCCCATTTCAGCATCTCTGTCACCTGAGACAATGCTGGGGGAAGTGAGAGTGTCTGCAACTGACTGGGGAGGAATGTTCTCACATCGCGAACACATTCATCCTGTTACAGGAAGGATCTCTATTTTGGATGTCATATAAAAGAAAGCTAAAATAGGCCAGTCCTAAGGGCTGATACCAGCAATCCCCCACCTCACCCTCGCACGCCCCCTCCTGCCCTCCCACCAAACGCACTGAGAGAAAGAAAGGAAACCCTCCGTTTAACACAAGGGCCAGGAATGCTGCTGTGTTCTGATTTATAAGTTCACAAAATACACTGACACATCACTTTACAATATACCCTGGAAAGCACTTTGAGACGTCTCAATGACGTGATAATGCACTATATCAAATGCAAGGATTATTATTATTGTTAATAAAGCTTATCAAATAAACCGTGAATTAACGTGAAGTGACTTAAACCAGTACCAGGTAAACCAGTCACTTCCTCCAGCTGGGGAAGTTGGTAACCAATTCCAGGTGTGAATAACACAGTGTATCCGTGTTGCTAATGTCACATGTTAATACCCAGTACGCTGCATACACACGGGAACATGGTTTGGTCACTTGATCAGGTTTGGTGGCTGAATGGCAGGAATCCTCAGTGTGAACAGGTCACTGTAAAACACACACAAACTTCCTTTTTGTGATTATTTTTGTCTTGACCTGGGTGAATCTCATGTGGGGTGGGCGGGGGGGTGGGGGGCTGGGGGAGAGGGAAACACAGCATTTAAATATGAGACAGAAATAGATTTAAATCTGACGGATTAAGCGACAGCCTTACCCTCTCCTTAGGCGATTCAGCTGGTCACTGTTCCAAGCTGGTCATGTTTCCAGGTTCAAGACAAAGAAGGCAATTTGGATCAGTGCGATCTGCCTACAAATACGCAGTCACTACACGTTACCTGTGAAATGCTTCAAGATATTACAGGTGTTTTTGTCAAAAGCAAGAATTATTATTGTTGTTACTAACTCAAGTCAATCAACGGTGACTAGAGACTGGCTACATCCTGCTAACAGTGGGGCATCCACAATGATATTTTATTAACTAAATGTTTAAATCTGTGATGTTTTCATATACTGTAAAAACTTCTCGGGCAGTTAAGTATATACTCCTACAAGCAAACAGTCACTCGACTCCACAGAAAGTCCCGTAAGGTTTTTGAGACGTCTTTACTATGTGATAAGGCGCTGTGTCAAATGCAAGTATTATTATTATTAACGGTACCATAGTGATTTATGAAAAGCATTTTCACTGTTCAAGCTCCACCTATCGACAAAAGCTAGAATTAGCACAAGACTTGGGATCAGCCATGAAAGGTTCCTAGAATATTTTCATAATCCTTGGATTTGATATAAACGAATTATCACACCTCAAAAGCGTCCTGCTAATTTTTTTAGTGACTGTATATTTGTAAGAAAACACGCCAACCACGTCCCACCCACAAACAGCCACAAAGTGAGTGAGTTTAATTCTGGAGGATTGTCGGCCAGGACACCAGGAGAGAGAACCTCCCTTCTCTATTTCTAATAGTATCACAAGATCTTTAATATCCACCTGAACGGGTACAGGCAGGCAAGACTTCGGTTCAGCTGTAATGTACACAACTTGAGGCAGATTTTGGAACGCTAAGGTGCGAGCAGAGGAATGCTCCACAATCGACTGTGAAATACATCAATACACTTTTCTTCTGAAGGTAGGTAGCAGCTTGGCCTTCACGTTACCATGGCAATGCCACAAAGCATCATTACCCAAGCAATTTATTGTGATTGGAACTGAAAGAGATGACTGAAAGAGCCACTTCATTCCACGCTCAGCTCCTCCGTACAGCTATCGCCCTCTCCTCACCGTTCCCCCACCCCCCACCCACCCCCATCACCAAACCTGGACACTTTGCTATTTGTGGAGGAGCAACAATTGCAGTACATTATATTTATACAGCGCCTTTTACGTTGGGAGGATGTCCCAAGGCGATGCACAGGGATTTGGACCTGAGCTGGAGGTTGGGATCAGGAAAGGTGGTGGGCAGGGAGGGTGGGGTGGGTGACCAAATAATAATATTTTTATGAACAGAAGCTGTTTTACTGGAGGAAAAACAATTTGGAAATCAGAAATGATTACTAGGTTTACCAAGCAAAACGTTGGAATGCACAGGCTAGACCAGGGCATCAATCCTGGCCAACAGTCCTCCAGGTAGATCGCTATTCTCGTTATCTTGCTGTGCGTTACTTAGCTGTGTGTTTTCCTCTCGAGATGATGGGGAGGGTCCTGGAATAATGGAGAGATCAAATGGCCTTTCTCATCACGAACAGCTCAGGTGAAATACAGTCCTTGCCCAAGTCTTGTGTTAATTTCAGTAAGAAATGCACGGATTATTATAATTATTATTAATTGGCAACTGGCAATGTTTGGAGAGTGAGATGACAACCTGGCAGTGAGGTGAGCCAGTGACACCACAAAGTGGCAGCACTTACAAGTGGAACAGAGATCCCCACCTGCTGGTCTGCAATGTGAGCTTAAAGTCCTAACATGGCAACGGAACAAATAATGTTCTGACTCAGAGGCGAGAGTAAGTGCAGCTGAATTAGTCTGACACCTGGGGAAGGATATCCCAGCCTAGGGCAGAGTTCAGCAACGACTTACTTGATCAGTGTCAGGAAATGAAGGGTTTAGGTGTGATGAGGTGTGTAAGACGAGGGGTATAATCCTTAGAGAGTCGCAGATTGTCGTACAGAAACACTCCGTTCCCCTTAGCTTCAATCTCGACTGACCTGTGAACTCTGTTAATCTCACCAAGTCTCATTCAGGTCTCACCCTGGATGGCAAGGCGAGGGGGCAGTGGGCGGGGGTGCAGGCATCTTGGGGAGGGTCTTTCTTGCCTGACTATACCTTCAGTGTGGCATCAATGGTGTCTGTTGTAGAACACAAAGGTTTATAGCACACAAGGCGATTCAGCCCATCGTGTTTTCACCAGGTCTTTTAAGAGCAATCCTTTCAGTCCCAGTTCGCTTGGCATCGGGCTCCACAATTGTCCGTCGCTCTGGGTTGCTACCTTGTGTGAGTTGCGCTAGATGAATACAAGTTGTTGGTGTAATTAAGAAATCACAGGTCCCTGGGGCATTCAGCAGTGGGTGACTCTGAAACTGCATGCAGTGTGACAGGAAGAGACAGACTGAACACAGTTTAATGTTAACAATTGTCGAGCAGGATTTGTTTTGTGTTGAGATGCTTTATTTTGTCTTCACACAACAAGCATGGTTAAATACATCAGTGCATTCGCCAGTACGAAGGAATTAAAGATTGATCCTGTGAATCCCATTTTTCTTCAATTAAGCAATATGCAAATTACGTGTAATCTGGTATAAAATACGCTGAGCATCTTCAACACTGTCGCAGGTAACATTACAGAGACCTGAAAGCTACCCAATCTTATCCTGTGCGTCTTCATGTCTTAATATTTAATGTGATAAAAAAATTGTAGATCGTTATATTTTGCACAACTCTGCTCCACCTTAAATTTCAGAGCCCAAATCGTCAGATGGTTAAGACATTGTGGAATTTTCTGGCCTCAGAAATGTCCAAACGTCTTTAAATTCGCCATCACAGCAGAGCGCGGTGTAAACTGACTCACGGCTTCAGTGAACATCAACGCACCAATACATGTGAAGAAAAAGGGCTTCCCTTCACTAAAAAACTCATTACCAGCAAGCTTTCAGAATGACAGGAGCTTTACAGCACAGAAACAGGCTGTTCGGCCCGTCAGGTCTGCGCTGGTGGTTTTCTCCACCTGAGCACACCTACTCCCAATTCCCTGCCCACTGACCCTCACACACCTTTGCTATGTGGTAGACAGTTCACATTCTCGTCGCCCGCTGGGTGAAGGCAGCTCTTCTATACCCCCCCCACCCCACACCCTTTATTTCCTGTGTAATTATCTTCAATTTGTGCCCGCAGTTACTGACCCCGAATCGACTGCGCTATACAAAGGCAAGTTGTTGTTGTGGGTGATTGGGTGTTTCCTACTCTCAATCTCGCTGACAGACGTCGCACTTACTCGCAATGCACAAACAACAAAAAAAACAAATGATTTGTGTTCTTTGGGTTGTTTGAAACACTTAGAAAAATACATCTTTCGAGAGAGTCTACATGATGCCCGCCACTTGCTGTGAAAGGGACAAGAAACTAAGCATAAGAACATAAGAAATGCTGGGCAAAAAACAGGTCTCTTTTCTTCCATCTTCCCGGCAGTCACATGCACATATGTCCTGAACTATCTATGTCCTATATCCCATAATGTTATTTCCTAAAAGAAAACTATCTAGTCTGTGTTTGAAGGAATCAACATTTCCTGCTTCAACCGTCTCCCTAGGGAGCCTGCTCCAGGTTTACTATTACTGGACATTACTATACTAAGCGCTACACTTACCTGCTTTCGACTACTTTGTTTTAGGAATAACTATCTCCCGCGACACTTTGAAGCACCTTAAAATGAATTGGCCGACAGGAAGACTCTGCGTAGCTCTATAAAGCGAATTAAGCTCTTTTTACTAAACTTGCTTATTTCTGCTGTTCTTCGCTCCTTAGTCCACCTCCTCTATAGTTGGTCCAGCAGCTCCTGTGGGGTTCCCTGCCCCCGGAGGGACCCCCCCTGGGCCAGGGGCTCCCCCGCTCTGGTACAGACTGGCGACGATGGGATTGCACAGCTTCTCCAGCTCCTTCTGCTGAAACTCGTACTCCTCCTTCTCAGCCATTTGGTTCTTGTCCAGCCAGTCCAGCACTTCCTTCACTTTACTCAGCACCTTCTGTTTGTCGTCCTCACTGATTTTTCCCTTTAAAAGATAGAAGCGGAACAACTTAATGCAGCATCTCCTGGTGTCTCAACGGACTTCATAATAATAATAAGAGTAATCCTTGCATTTGATACAGTGACTTATCACGTTGTTGAGATGTGTCAACGCACTTCAAAGAATATATTGCAAAGTAAATTGACTGTATTTTACTATGAAACGCAGCAGCCAGTTGTGCACAGCAGTGTCTCACAAACTGTCGTGGATTGAGTGACCGAATTATTACTATTATTATTAATAAAACTACCCTCACACCTCTGCTTGAAACATTACTGAACACATTATTATTTTACTAGATACTTGAGTTACACAAAGGCATAAATGAACAAGATTGGGAAGAAAGCATACAGCATCGCAGATAATCATGGAGAACGCAATACCCAGATTAATCTTCAGTGGATTCCTTTAGTGAAATAAACCCTGTCATCCATACTGGAACAGATTACTACACATCGCTGCAGCACATTAATTCTTAATTAACTTGTTCTACATATTACATTGATCCTAATGTGTTATGTAATCCTTTTGTTCCCCTCAAACGGTGTGTAAATGACAGCTGTGCTAAATTACAGTCTCCTCGTGGTGATACACTTGCAAGCCCTAAAACAAATTATTGATGTTTGAAACATCTGCTTCCATAAAATATTAGATATGGGATTGACTTTACCTACATTTCGTCCACAAACTACACAGTCACTACACTTTACAGTATATTCTGTGAAGCTCTTTGAGACGTCTCGAAGATGTGATAAGGTGCTATATCAAATGGAAGGACTATTATTGTTGTATCCCGATCTGTGTATTCCCTTTAGGCAGGATGTCAACAATAACCACAGCAACTCTATGTGGAGACACTTGTTGCCTGCCTCCAGTCTAGTTCAGTAAAGTCCAATCCAGTCCATTATAGTCTAGTATAGTCTATTAAAGCGCTCTTGGGCACTACACCGCGTGAAGAGCACTATATAAACCAAGTTGCTGTTGTAGTCCAGTCCAGTGCAGTCTATAACAATATAATAATCCTGTATATTTTGTGGGCCAAAGGCAGTTAACCTTCCCCGCCTCTTGTTCACGCCGCTTATTCTAGAATACGTTTTCGGTCTGGCCATGATGGAAGGTGTCTCTGGGATGCTAAGGCAGGTGAGGGAGGGTGTGTGATTGACCACGCCTCAGCTTGGCCCTCACTCACACTGAGAGCCTTATCAGGGCTGATTCCCGAGTCTTGTGCTATTTCCAGTTTTTGTCGCTAGGTGGAGCTTGAACAATGAAAATGCTTGTTATAAATCACCATGGTACCGTTAACAATACTAAACCTTGCATTCGATTTAACGCCTTATTGCTTCATTGAGACGTCCCAAAGCGCTTCACAGAATATACTGTAAAGTGAGCTGACAGTATATTTTATGGGCGAAACAATTGTGCACAGCAACGTCCCACAAACAGTTGTGAATTGAGTGAACAATTTTTTTGGGAAGGAACTAACAACCAGGTTCCTACTTACTGCTAGGTAAACAGAGGCATGTGGAATGAGGAAAGTTGCCCCACGTTTCGCCCTGTCGGGTTTTGAACTCAGGTCTCTCGCTTGTGAGGCAAGTGCTCTAACCAGTGAGCTACCGGACTCCTCGTCTAGTCTAGTCCGATCCTCTCTCTCTTACCTTCATGTTATCATCTTCCATGGTGGATTTCATGCTGTAAGCATACGACTCAAGTGCGTTCTTGGCAGCGACCCGGTTCCGCTGAATCTCATCCTCGGCTTTGTACTCGTCGGCCTCATTCACCATGCGTTCAATCTCCTCCTTGCTCAGACGGCCCTTGTCGTTGGTGATGGTGATCTTATTCTCCTTCCCAGTGCTCTTGTCCACGGCCGAGACATTGAGGATCCCGTTGGCATCGATGTCGAAGGTCACCTCTATCTGAGGGACGCCTCGGGGCGCCGGAGGGATCCCCGACAGCTCAAACTTGCCCAGCAGGTTGTTGTCCTTGGTCATGGCTCGCTCACCCTCAAACACCTGGATCAGGACTCCGGGCTGGTTGTCCGAGTAGGTGGTGAAGATCTGGGTCTGTTTGGTGGGGATGGTGGTGTTCCTCTTGATGAGGGTGGTCATGACGCCTCCTGCGGTCTCGATGCCCAAAGACAAGGGCGTCACGTCCAGAAGCAGCAGGTCCTGTACATTGCTTGAGGTGTCCCCAGTCAGAATGGCTGCCTGCACAGCTGCTCCATAAGCCACAGCCTCATCGGGATTGATACTCTTGTTCAGCTCCTTGCCATTGAAGAGGTCCTGCAGCAACCTCTGGATCTTGGGAATTCGAGTCGATCCTCCCACCAGGACGATTTCATGGATCTGGGCCTTGTCCATCTTGGCATCTCTCAGCGCCTTCTCCACCGGCTCCAGGGTCCCTCGGAAGAGATCAGAGTTGAGCTCCTCAAATCGTGCCCGAGTGATTGACGTGTAGAAGTCGATGCCCTCGAAGAGGGAGTCGATCTCAAGGCTGGCCTGGGAGCTGGAAGACAGGGTGCGCTTTGCCCGCTCACAGGCCGTGCGGAGACGACGCACGGCCCGCTTATTGCTGGCGATGTCCTTCTTGTTCTTGCGCTTGAACTCGTCGATGAAGTGGTTCACCATGCGGTTATCGAAGTCTTCCCCGCCCAGATGTGTGTCGCCGGCTGTGGCCTTGACCTCAAAGATGCCGTCCTCGATGGTCAGGATGGACACGTCAAAGGTGCCACCGCCCAGGTCAAATATCAGGACATTGCGTTCAGCCCCCACCTAAACAAACGAGCAGCGAAGCAAAGAATGGTCAGGTCGGAGCAGTGGCTCAAGAGCAATATACAGGGGGATTCCTGGGCCACCCCACCATCGGCGGTCAGGCCTGCAACCTCTCCGACCCCACCCTTTGGAACTCGATCCCACATTCCTTTCGCCTCGCACCCTCCCTTGCCTCCCTAAAGGCTCGCCTCCCCTTCAACTGTGCCTTCGGCCACCCTCCTACCTTCCACCTTCTCCCCACCCCGTCTCCCCACCCGCTCCAAATCCCTGACTGTCCAGCACCTTGGGACGTGCTCCCTCCGGACGTGAAAGGTGCGATACAACGGAAATTTTTACATTGTATTGTATTGAATCAGAAGTCCTTACTCACAGAGATTTTTATTATTAATTATGTTCTTTTCTTTTATTTCAACATTAGTAAACAGCGTGCAGCTAATACAGGAGATGTCTGTCATTTCATTGCGTTCGTGAAAGGTTATGCCACTAAGTTGATGTGTGGAAATGTCTACGTGGCATGTCGTGTGAACATCTCATATAAACCTATAAGTAGGGACACCCTGTACATGACCAGGCACATAACTTATTCTCAGAGCTATAACTTACTGTTCTAATAAATCTCATTATAAATTAATATAATTAATTGGATTAACTAGAAGGTTAGGAGAGCATTGGAAACTGTATCTTGCCCCCAGCCCTAGAGAGAAGCTCTAACCAAATGGAAACCCACCTTCTTATCCAGACCGTAAGCGATGGCGGCTGCTGTTGGCTCGTTGATGATCCTCAACACATTGAGCCCAGCGATGGCTCCAGCATCCTTGGTGGCCTGACGTTGGGAATCGTTGAAGTAAGCTGGGACTGTGATGACTGCGTTGTTAATGGATTTGCCCAGATAAGCCTCGGCGATCTCCTTCATTTTGATCAGGACCATGGAGGAGATCTCCTCAGCGTAGAAGGTCTTGCTCTCCCCTTTGTACAGCACCTGGACTTTGGGCTTGGTGCCCTCATTGACCACTTGGAAAGGCCAATATTTCATATCAGATTGGACGGTGGCATCATTGTACTTCCTGCCGATCAGCCTCTTGGCATCGAAGATGGTGTTCTGGGGATTCATGGCCACTTGGTTCTTGGCTGCATCCCCGATGAGTCTCTCGGTGTCGGTAAAGGCCACGTAGCTTGGGGTGGTCCTGTTGCCTTGGTCGTTGGCAATGATCTCGACTTTACCATGCTGGAAGACGCCCACGCAGGAGTAGGTGGTCCCCAGGTCGATGCCCACAGCTGGGCCTTTGCTGCTCATTGTTGCTGATCCGGACACTCAGTGCCTGATAGCAGGGCTCGCACTGAGCTGTCCTTTTTATAAATCGTAGAATGTTCTGGACTGTGGATCAGATGGCAGCTTGGCACTGCTCCCTGTGCCTGACATTTGGCGTTAAGCGTTTTTCTGGAAATAGCCAGCTTAGTCAGCCATGCACGTCAGTACAGCCCCAGGCCCAGACTCTGCCCCCAGCCCCCAGCCCCCACCCCCACCCTAAATATAGAGGCTGGGCCACAGCAGAGGTTCAGCACCAAGGAATATCTGATCAGAGCAGCGATTGATATAATAATAATAATCCTGGCATTTGATACAGTACCTTATCCAGTCATTGAGACATCTCAAAGCAATTCACAGAATATATTATAAAGTGGATTGGCTGTGTATTTTGTGGGTGAATTGTGGCAGCCAGTTGCACACAGCAGTGACTCGCAAACAGACATGGATTGAATGATTAATTTTTTCTTAGGGATTATTTGCCCCAGAAATCGATCTGCCAATCAACTAAAAAAACGTGTTCTTACTTACTGTTAGGTAAACAGGTATGTGGAGCAAGGAAACTTGCCTAAGGTTTTGTCCCGCCTGGGAATTGAACCCAGATGCTCTCGATCACCACAACGCTAGGGGAACTCCATGCTATAGGACATCTGATCAATATGCGATGAGTGTAGTTATCAATATCTAAGAAGAACAAGCTCTGATATTTAATCACAGCTTAATAGATAGTTTACAGGTGGCAGATCTGATCGAGTGTAGAATCAATTTGATATCTAATCATTGCAGAGCTACATTACGCAGATAAAATAATCCATACCCAGTGCCAGCCAGAATCCATATCTGAATCACAAGCAATGATCAATACTTGGTGAGATCAATACTGGTTAATCTCATCGCTGGTGTTCCCAGTTCAACAACAAAATTTTCCTAGTTACTGTACCGAGGTTCTGCCCCACTGCTCCTTGGATGGTGCATAATGAGTTTGTCCTAATATAATGGCTCGGCATTCGTAGATAAAGTGAAGCATTCACCAGATTCATTCATCCGAAGCCCCATCTGCAGGAGTCAGATTGACAGCTGGATTCACTTCAAGCTCTCATTCCATTCATTCCATACCAAAAACCTCAATTTAAACTCCAGCAGGTAAAAGCACCCACCCACACACACCAAATACCAGCATCGGTCAGGTACAAAACAATCTCAAACCGTTTGGCTCATTAGATCGTGTACATTCAGTCACCCGGAATGTGCAGATTTAGCTGGGTTTGACAAAGTTCGCCACAGATTTATCAGATGTTTGTTCATGTTGGAATGTTTCCCAATGTCAAAGAATTCGATGGTTTAACGGCTACAACACAAGGGCCAGAGCAGTCATTCATTTAACGCTTTCCTTTCCACACAAACACAATATATTTTGGCAATGAAACTGAACTGCAAGCGACAAATTAAAAATAATTACTTTAAACTGCTTTTACTGATGCATGTGTGTGTGTGTGTATCAGTTGGGACCATACATTTAATGTGATTTCATGTGAAAAGTACGTGTTATGTCAAGCATACATAGAATATAAAACTCTTGAACGAGAATTGGGCAGATGTACGATTCAGACGATTATATGATTTATACAGATCAGACTTGTGCGAGTTTTACTGTATGTCAGTACAGTTACTCATTGTCCATATCCAAGCACTAGGGGGGGATAGATATGTAATTTAGATCAAATTAAAGCACCATATCAATCAATACGATTTCTCTTATAAGCCAGGCTCGGGTTCGATATCTTTCATATCAAATCACAGCATTGGATCAATAACTCATCAATCATTTCCACTTTGCTTGGCATTTGTTACAGCACCTAACAATCATTATAACCTCAGACTCTCAAGGCGCTTGAGAAAATTGTAGTCAAGTGGAGTGACTGTGTTTGCGTGGACAAAAGTTTCTTCCCCGCTCTGCCCCATTTCTTTCCTTCCTTAAATGTTTGGTCTATTTCTGCTCCATGCTAGTAGGGTCGCTCTCTCTCTCTGGTGTCCATTCCTTTTGTGTCTCTCGGTGTAATAATAAGTCACTCTACTTTTTTGGTCTTGTCTTTGGCTCTGGTTCTGAGGCTGAAGGTCAGACTCTTTGCAGCACAGAGAACATTTTCTGGGCACCCAGGAGCGAAGTAGTAATAGGCTATTTAAAGACTCTGGTTTGCTAGGGCCACAACTCTGCCTATTAATAACAGAATTCCTGCTGCGCGATTCACTCTGAACTAACTGCATACAAAATAGAGCCTCGGATTGCGATCAGTTGCTGAAGTGAGAGGTCGCTATAGGGGTTCAACTCACCATTAACCAGCATTAGTCACTTAATAACTAAAGGGTAATAACTAGAGAGAGCAAAAAAATGAAACACTCCCCCCAGCACTAGAGCACACTCGTAACATTTGAGAGTGTATTCTATTTCCACTCCTCTCATCAGAACTCTCTTGACTTGTGGTTAATAAATTTGCTGCTTCAAGCTTCAGTCTGAAGTGTAATGCAACGATTATTATTATTATCATTACTTTGGTTCAAGTCCAGTGACCCCCCCCAAAGTAGGTTCACACTTTGCGCTGGGGGGGGATGGGGGGCTGCAGCACACCCAGAGATCTTTGGAAGGTTAAAAAGCTTTTCAAAAATACGGTAAATTATCATCATTGAAACAGCAAACAATTTGTCCAAAATTTTATTTAGTCAATTAAAATTTGCTTTAATGCAAGGTCATTCATCATTTATTTCTCTGAAGGTTGATGGGGACATTTCCCTGGGTGTTTGAAGATACTAATTAATAATCCTTACATTTCCTATGGTGCCTTATCACGTCGTGGAGACATCTCAAAGTGCTTCACAGAGAATACACAGTATTGTAAAGTGGATCGACTGTGTACAAATGATAAAAGTGGCCGTAGCAAATTATAAAAATTGCTTTTTCTACCCTGTTTGGGTTGAATCCAGAGTGAGTAAGTGAGTGAGTAATTGAGGGGCTGTGGTCAGTCTAGCACTTTACTAGATACAATTTCTATCGTAAGCCGGGCTCAGTTTCGATGGCTGTAGCTCAGTGGTTAGAGCGCTCGCCTTGCAAGCGAAAAGACCCGGGCAGTGCGAAACATTGATCGAGTTTCCTTACTCCACACACCTCTGTTTACCCAGCAGTAAGTAAGAACCTGGTTGTTAGTCGATTGGTGGATCGCTTTTCTGGGGGTAATAATCCCTTCCAAAAAAAAAAATTGTTCACTCAATGCCCGACTATTTGCGGGACGCTGCTGCGCGTAATCGGCTGCCGCGTCTCGCCCACAAAAACACACAGTCAATTCACCTTACAGCGTATCCTATGAAGCGCCTTGAGACGTTGCGAAGGCACGATAAGGCGCGATATCAAATGCAAGGATTATTATCATCATTATATCATTGTTTTGGATATCAAACCACAGCCACGGGTCCCGAATCAGCGTTCTGACTCTTCTCGTCCCGTGCGTTAAAGCGCGGGGATGCAATACAGAGATTATAACCTCAAAGCGCTTCCACGGGAAAATCGTGGTCAAGTGGAGTGTGACTTGTGTATGAGTGGCTGCAGTGACCTGAGTTAGGGAAGGTCCTCTGTCTGTGTGTGAGTGTGTGTGTGTGTGTTTCTCTCCCTGTTTCTCACCAGTATTTGGCCACCAGCAATGATTGCCAGACCAGGAACCCAATGAGAGATGCAAACGCCTACCTGCCAGTGACGAGTCCCAAACGGAAGAGACTATACTTTTTTTTGTGCAACTTTTTTTGTGGGGGTGGAAGTTGGGAGCTGCTCATCAGAACTGGTGGTGAAGGAGGAACGATCTCAAGAGGTTTTTTCCTGCCAATTCCTCCAGGGATTGAGGGAGGGAGAAGGCTGGTGATCCCTGGACAGGGGAACAGGTGAAGATGGAAGCGATCAGCTCCTGGGACCCGAGCAGAGTTTCACATTGGTTACAAGGTGAGGGGGCGCACCAGAGGGAGAAGGAGCCTGGAATGAGGAAGTAGGATGTTTTGTGCTCACTGACTCACTGACACTCACTGACTTTTCTGCAACGAAATGGGAAGGTGTGTGTGGTTGCTCTGTGCAGGTATCAAGTCCTCCCCACCCCTGCACAGATCCTGTAGAAATAACATGTCCAGCTGGTCTCCTTCCTCAACCATTCCCAATCCAACCTTCCAGGGGTCTGTAGTCCTGCAGACCTGCCAAGTTTCTAGGGTTTGGTCACTTCACTTCAACCGACCAGGCCTGAGATCTCACCCGATTTTCGGTCTCGCCGACCTGTTTTTATTGTCTCGGCGTTATTCTAAGATCGTTGCGGAATTGCGTTTTTTAAAAAAAAAAAAATTCCTAATCGTGATAATAAGTGATAATCTTTGCAATTGATGTCGCGTCTTATCTCGTCGTTGAGATGTCTCAAAGCGCTTAAAAAGGATCTACTGTAAAATGAAAGGCAAAGTCCTGCAGATGCTGGGAATATACTGTAAAGTGTGTACTTTGTGGGGGAAACGCGGCAGCCGATTGCGCACAGCAGTGCCCCACAAACAGTTGTGGAGTGAGTGACTAAATTATTATTATTTTTTTAAGGGATTATTACCTTAAATACAGTCTTGGTTTACCACGTGTGCTTCTCAAAGGGAAACGGCTTCCAGATTAAGGCTGCTTTGTAGAAACTGTCACAATTGTGTATTGTTTTAGGATTTATGGGAGGGGTTGGGGGGGGGGGTGTCAGCCAGGTATCTGGCACATGCGGAAACCCATCACCATGCTTAAAGAATATCCAAACTGACTTCCAAGCATCCCCACATACACATTGGATATTCCCGTGTATTGGAATGGAATTGAATCTGCACTCGACACAGGAATTTACAAGATAGAAATTGAGACTAGATGGGATTGGGGGTAGGGGGTGTCTCTGAAGTCTGATGGATGAATTTACTGGTGCCTTTTCCTGTCCGGCGATTCCCACATTATACACAAATCCGTGTCCAAACGATTATTATAACAGTCTCTCCCTGTTGTTCTCTAGGACTGGAGGACAGTGTGCAGCACTATCCCTTTGCTCAGTGGCAGGTGAATGGTGAGCAGCTGCTGAGATTGTCACCCCAGGAACTGGAGGAGCTGGGCGTCACTCGCGTGGGACACCAGGAGCTGATCCTGGAGGCTGTGGAGCTGTTGTGTGCACTGGTGAGTCCGTCTCCTACGTCCATTCCCGTCAAGGCTGAGCCTGAAGTTTCTCCATCGCGGTCAGTGTTCTGACCAACAGACCCCTCAGATCAACTGATCATTCACTTCATGGCTGTGTGTGTGTGTGTGTGTGTGGGTGTGCATGTGCGTGCGATTATAGCGGTGTGGGCATTGCTGCATGCAAATTAGCTGCAGCGTTCGCCCACAAAAATACCGTCACTACACTTGACAGTTCAGGTGGAAGTTAAAGATGCTAAGGAACTGTTGGAAAGCAGAGGGGAGTTTCCTGGCTAACAATCCACCACATAAATGAGGAGTTAACTTTAATAACTATTTACGAGACCTGGCTACGCAATATAAGCTGCTGCGTTTCTCTAAAAAGTCACTGCACTACTCAAGAAAGAAACTTACCTGTGAAGCACAATTCCTGCTCTGAGTCTCTGAGTGAGTGAGTGAGTGAGTGACTGAGCGAGCGAGTGACTGAGTGAGCGAGTGAATGAATAAGTGATTGACTGAACGACTGACTGATTGAGTGACTGAGCGACTGACTGAGTGAGTGACTGAGCGACTGACGTGCCTCTGCTTTCAGACGTATGACCTGGAGAGGGAGAACCTGAAGGCGTTGATGGAGAAGATGCGAGCTGTGTCGGTGTCGGTCCAGACCTGTATAATGAGCCGCAGGAAAGTGTTCGCTGGAGCCAAGAGAACCCCCACTGACCTCCTGCTGTTGGTCATGGACCTTCTGCAGGCAACAAAAGCCATCTTCTCCTGGCTGAACAGGTACAATAGCAATGCCTGTGGCTTTCAGGCTGGAATCCCCAGATTAGTATCAATTATTATTAATAGTATTTTATACTACTATAAACAACAACAACTTGCATTTCTATGGTGCTCCTCATGCAGAGCACGGTCCCAGAGCGCTTGACAGTGGCAGAGCATGGTGCCAAGTTGGGGGAGGTGACCAGAGGCATGGTCGAGGAGAAGACAGAGGGATAGAGGAAAAGTGTTCCAGAGTAAAAATTGTTAAAAAAATAGATTAGTGATGCAAGAAGGTTCAGGTTACACAATGAGGCTGTGGTTTGCTCTCTCACCCCGAGCTCCCTCCATCCCCCCCCGCCACACACACACACACACATGCGCACACATGACCACATGCACAACCGCGAACACCCACACACCCACAGTCCATGCCAGACACTGGAGGCTGATGATACTTACAGATAATTGTAAGCCTTTGATATACCGACTGGTTTTGCTGAGGCTCTTAGCTTCCTCCTCACATCACCATGATGGATTTTATGTTCGAGGTCTTAATCATTTCTGATAAAGTAAAAGTCCATGAATCCGCAGAGATACAGGCAAAAAAAAAGTCTTTGCTCGCAAGACTACTGATGTTGAGCTAAGTGTTGATTACAATATTGGTGAAAGACAGAGACAGAGACAGAGCGACAGATAGAGATTGTCAGGGAGATGGATAGTAAAGGGCTGACACGGGCAGAGTCTCTCTTGCTGGAAGTAGTTTTTGGTCAGTACTGTAGCCAATTTGTATTTTATGTGTGTTGACCCATGTTCCGTACTGTTTCTGTCTCCGTAATATGAGCCGGTCCTAATTAGTGCAGATAAGCGACTCTGAATGGAATAACAGTTTCTGTGAATCGTATTTGCCTCTGGCGTATCCCCATGTTTTTATTTTAATGAGTTATTTCCCGTCCTTTGGATGAGGTGTTAAATCGAGGTCCCGTCTGCTTGTTCAGGTGGCCGTTAAAGATCCCATGGCGCTATTTAAAAAGAGAAGTGAGTTTCTCTCTCCCGGTCTCCTGGCCTACAAACCGCCAAAAATAATCGGTCGCTCACTCCATGACTGTTTGCGGGACATTGCTGTGTGTAAACTCGCTGCCACGTTTCGCCCACAAAAAACCTTTACAGCATTATCCTGTGAAGTGCTTTGAGATGTCTCGACGACATAATAAAGGCTGTATCATATGCAAGGATTATTATTATTATTAATTTTATAAACTCAGTGCGAGGCATGACATTTGTCTGCAGCTGTCACAGGAATGGGGTGGAGCTCAGAGGAATCTTAACTGTGCCTTGCTCCCCTCCCCACCAACAGGTATCCTTTTCTATGTATTGTGGATTACTCCACAGTCAAGAGGAGAATTATCCAACTGTGCATGGAGCTGGCTCGCTGTGTGAACAAGGTTTGTAACCTCTACGCATCGAACTTGGGTCGAGCTTTCTCTCTCGATATAACGCTTTCTATCAATCTCTTTCTCTCCCTCTCTCTGTCTCTCAATTTTTGTGAGTGTCTAGATAAGACAGCGTTATCTCTGTGTTTGTTTGCTTCTTGATGCCTTTAACGTACGTCACTGAACTAAATGATCGCTGGAAGAGGTGATTGGGAGCCACAGTGAGGGAAGGGAGGATGGGAGCTTGGACTGTGCTCAGTGATCAGTAACGTGTACTGACGGCCAGTCATACAGACAGCGACAGCATCAGCACATCCGACCCGCTCTCGACAGCCAGTCCCTGAGGGCAATCCCTCCCGGAGTCCAGGCTCCGGTCTCTGGAAGGTACCGAGCAGTGAATCCCGGGAATTGCAGTCAATGGAATCCAGATGCAGGCAGGGACGTGTTTGGCAGGAATACTGCACTCAGGTCACTGTCAGCTGGGAACCTGCTCGTCTGGATTTGCTCTTGGCTCTGGCAGCTCTGAGCAACAAGGGTGGGGCTGCTCACAGCACTGCCAGTGGTGGTAGTGGGGTGGGGGAGGGGGTGGGTGGGGAAGAAAGAGTCTGAATCACCCTCCTTAACTCCTAACTGTACTTACCCCCACCCCCTCCCGCCGCCCAAAATCTTTTATTAGGTTTAGAGCTTCCCTCTGGCCAGGTTTTATAATGTGCGTGTCTCCGCACACCTCCGTAAGCACAGGGGCATCTATCTGTGTGTGTATGTCTCTCAGTGTTTCCATAATGTGTAATTTCTCTCCTAAATTACTTTCTAAGAACACGCCCCGCTAAACTGGATTGTTGCCTCAAAATAAATGGGTGACCTGCTAGTCTCTGGCTGTGAACTGTTTTGGAAATTGCAGTGTGTGTGTGGGGGTGGGTGGGTGGGGGGGGGGTGCGGGGATGCCTTCACCTCTCTCACAGCTTTCTGTCCATGTTCAGGACCACAGCACGGAGGACAAAGAAGACCAGGTGCTGACTGTAGTAAGTGCAGACCCACGTTCCTCCCTTCGCTGTACAGTAACTTGCGTTAATATAGGGTCCTTAACCCTCCCACGGTCCCTCCGCCTCGCCCCCTCCCTTGCCTCCTTCAAGGCCCACCTCAAGGGGCGCGGCAGGGGGGCATGGGGAGGGGTGTTGGAGGAAGCACTTGTCTCGGGTCGTTTGTGCTTTGTTCCCCCCTCTCTTCACTGTCTCTGTCTGATTTAGTGCAGGGAACTCTCAGAGCTGAGTGAGTTGGTGCAGAAGAGCAGCCCGAAGCAGCTGTTGTGCGAGTGCGCCAACCTGGAGAGGGTGCAACTGGTGACAGTCTCACCGGGACAGAGTCTGGTGAGTAGACACTGAGCCGCAGTTCAACCCTCGAGGTCTCAAATTCCACCCAGCCTCAGGCTGCGAGACGGTTAAAAGATTTAAGGCGGGCAGGAATGTACAAAAAAGCCTAATCCCATCTCAATTTGGAAGCTGGATTCTGTTTCTGTTTAGAAATTGGGCCAAAAAAAAAAACAGCTTCTAAAGTAAGAGCGAACTGAAGAATTTTCTGGTCCACCTTAAATTTTAAGCCGGGGAACTGAGATGGCCGAGACCGGGTGGAATGTCAGATTCCTGGGGACGAGGGAAGTGACATTTTAGAATCAGTTGGTTTTTTTTTAAGAATATTTTGTTAAAAAAGAAATCTCACCATGAAATTAGAAGTGAGAGAGCCAAGGAACTCAGTACTGGTGCCAGTTCCTCCACTGGAGCTCGCTGCTCTAATCACAGGGAACAAGCAGCTTTAAGAACCTCTCTCCTCCCACTGCCCTCTAATCAAGGTACTTCATCGGTACATACTGTGCAGTGAGTCTACCTGAAAGCTCTGGACCTTGAACTCTCATTTATGCTCTCCATTTTTCTCTCTCTCTCTTTTTTCTCTCTGTTCTCTCTCTTTTCTCCTGTCTCTCTCTCTCTCTCTCTCTCTCTCTCCCTCTTTCTCTCCGGGCAACGAGAAGGACATTCAGGCAAAGATTCAATCCAAATCCAATCACTGAATTCAAACTGCTCGCAAAGTTAACTCTCAATTTCATGAGTTTTGACAGAACGCCGGGTTCGGTCAAATTGCTGTTGCTGTCTCGATTTCCAAACATGTGACCGGTGTATGATAGATGTCAAGCGACACCACCCCACACACGCCATTCCCCCCCCCACCCACCAGCCCCAGCCAGACGTGATTCCCATTTTGTTGCTGGATTGAAGCCTGTTCCTCTTTGTTCCTGAAATAGGGAATTGAAATCAAATCGAACAATGGGCTACACTTCATCACCGGAACCACTGCCAATGTAAGTGGAATTTCTCCCCCCCCGCTCGCTGTGTGTTCGCTCTCATTCCAAACTTTTCCCATTCTTTTTCTCACAGGAAAATCTGTCTCTTGCATACATTCTCTTGCTTTCTCTCTTGAGTCCTTTTCCCTTTTGGCCTCTGCTTGCTCAACTCTCTTGCATTTTCCCTCTATCTCACACGTTGCCTCGTGCGCATCCTCTCACCTTTCTTTTCTGTGCTCGGTGACTTATTGTTCATTTTGCATGGTTCGTATTGTTTGGTTAACTTTTCCCCCTCTCTCTCTCTCTCTCTCTTCCTGCTGCACTGACATTTACTTCCTGTCTCCTGACGTTAAGTTTCCTGCGGTTGAATTTTTACTGGATGGTTTAGTTAGGTGCGGAGTGTTTATTTTTCTCTTTCCCGGTTTCAGTCTCCAGCACGTCGGTGCCAGAAGATCCAGGCGGGAGATGAGGTGGTGAAAGTCAACGATTCTGTCGTGGTGAGTATCAAAGCCGCGTGTGTCAAAACCACTGGTCGTAATAGCCTTTACTCCCCCCCCCCCCCCACCTCAAAGGATACTGAGCAGGTGTTAAAAGTGGGGTTCATGGAAAAACATGGTCGCCCACCATCACTTGACATCACTTCCAGGGTTATGCTGGCCAGCTTGCTGCTCGTGCTCTCGAGTGGCACCCGGTCAGCCTGCGTCGGAGGCCAATAGTGGCCGCTTTGGTCAGGCGGGGTCGTCCCGTATCTCTTGTCACGTCTGTGTCGCCATGATTCTGCGATTGTCTGCGAGGATCTTGTTCATGCTGAACATGTCACGAGGCCTGAGCTGCTGTCCGCGCGCGCTCTAACCCTGCGTCACGAGCCTGTCGTTGAGGGTTCCTGTCCCGGCAGGTGGGCTGGACCCTGCGGAATCTCGTCTCCAAGCTCCGGGAGGACTCCCACCAGGTGGTCCTCGTCATGAAGAAGGTCCCCGTCGACAGCATGTCACTAATCTCTGCCTCCGACAGCCCCCAGTCCCAGGTGAGTGAAGTGAGAAATAAACTTTGGAGCGTTCTGTCACTGGCTCCTTTCCATCACAGACGTTGCATGGCAGTAGAGGGGAAGCCTTGGCTGTCACCGAATGACTCCATTCTCCGAGGGATTGTCAGCCAGGACACCTCGAGAGAGACTCTTCTCTCCCCATGATCTTTAAATCCACCTGAACTGGACAGACTGGTTTAACGTATTGTCCAAAAGCCCTGAAGTGGGGCTTGAACCCACTACCTTCTGACCCAGAAAAGAACAGGCGAACTGCCATCGGTGGGTGGTGGGGAAGAGAATAAAGTGCTTCCCAAAGACACTGCAGTGAGTGTCAGGAGTGTGGGGTAGTGTGGTGCTGAATGCTTTACTCTCTGTCCTAGACTGTGAAGCGGCTCTCCGATGATGTGGAATCTTGCCAGGATTTGGAACGGACCTCAAGAGGATCATCCCGAACATCTGTCCCGTGAGTGACTGTTGCTCAAGTCCGAGTGCCATGTTAAAATGAGGTGGAGACAACAGTGACCACAAACGTGTCCGAAGTGTTCACTTCTGCAATGATTTGTTGGAAATGGCGAGAGCATCGGCATAGGAATAGTCACTTCCCTATTGGAGGTTTAGATGTGAATGTCACCAGCCTGCAACTAATTTACTCTCAAAGCAATAAGTGGAGTCCTGTAGCTCAGTGGTTAGAGCACTCGCCTTGCAAGCGAGAGACCTGGGTTCGATTCCCGGCAGGGCGAAACCTTGGGCAAGTTTTCTTACTCCTGATAATAATCCCTCAAGAAAAAAAACCAATAATAAATTGGTGATTTCAATCCACGACGGTTTGTGGGACACTGCTGTGCGCATTTGGCTGCCGCATTTCACCCACAGATATACAGTCAATTCACTTTACAGTCTATTCTGTGAAGCGCTTTGAGACGTCTCGAAGACGTGATAAGGCGCTATATCAAATGCAAGGATTGTTATTATAGCAGGACGTCAATAAGAGTGCAGGTACTTTCGCTACAGTGTGATGTAACTTGGGTAGCACACCCGCTCACACACTTGTGATTCTCATTCTAGGACAGATACCAGGAAGTGTTTCTTCACATAGAGGGGAATTCACAGTTTGAATAGGGTTACCAGGAAGGGAGGATTTGTTGGAGAAACAGCAGGGTGGTGGACAAGACGAGAGTGGGGGTGGAGGAATGGAGGGAAATTCCGTGGGATGCAGTGAAGACAAAATGGACCGAGGGCTCTGTTAACCTGAACTCCACCCATGACTTCTCACTCTCCCTCCCTCCCTCTCTCCCTCCCTCTCTCCTTCTGAGAAAAGCCACAAATTTCACAAACACAAAACCTCCAAAGCTGAGAACCAGAAGTGGCAGCGAGTAACTAACCATTTCCTCTGTGCTAGCAGGGGGCCTGACACCGAGACGATGGAGCAACCGTGGAGGACCTCTCGCCCGAGCTCTGTCACCTCCCACTCCAGCACGGACTGCGAGCAAAACAGAGGTCGCTCGGACTCGGAGGCGGAGCCCACCCGTGCCACTGAGGGTAATGGGGGTAAGGAGCACATCACGGCCGCTGCTAACAGTGTCCCACCTCACCTTTTGAATTAACTTCCCGAAGGAAAACAAACACTTCAGTTTAGAATTTTCCAAATTTCTGTGCGGAGCTTTTGTGTTAAAATTTCAGACGTTGCAGAATTGAGAGATAAAATCTTCGATCCAGCCTTAAATTTGAAAGCCGTGGATTTCTCTCTCTCTCCCTCTCATTCTTTCTCGCCGTCTTTCTCACACTCTGTGTCTTTCTCTCCGTGTTGCTCATCCTCTCTCTCTGTCTCCTACTCTGTGTCTGTAAATGTCTTCCTCAATTTTTGTCTTTCTCTCACTCTGTGTGTGTGTGTGTCACTCACTCACTCACTCGTACATTTTCTCTCGCTCTCCCTCACGGTTTGGTGTGTGTGGTTGGCAGGCCTGGTATTGCCGTTGCTGGTGAAGAGCTCGGTGAGGACAGAGTGTGAAGCTGGCGACAGCTCGGCTGATGCAGCATCTCCGGGACAGTCAGCGCCTAGTGGAGCTGAGCCGGTACAGGGAACACCGGAATCTGGGAACACGGTGAGACGGAGAGGGTGAAGGAAGTCACTAAGATACTAATCAACAGCGGGAGGAGTGGTGGGGTGTTGGTGGAGGGGGTGCGTGCGTGGGTGTGGTGTGGGTGGGGGTCCCAGACTTAAGAGAAAAGAAGATTCCAAGAGCCAAGGGTTAGAAATATAATTGGAAAAATGTGAGGTCATTATTCCAGAAAGGGATGAAGAGGGCTTTGAGTTTAACCTGCTCTGAGAATCCAACACCAGAGCTAGCTCAGCAACTGGTTAAATATGAGCTGTCAGAAAGCGAGGTGCTGGGGAGGGTAGCTGCTTTCGTCCTAATAATAATCCTTGCATAAAGCGCCTTATCACGTCGTCGAGAGTCTCAAAACCATTCACAGGATACACTGTAAAGCTCAGTGACTGTGTATTTTGTGGGCAGCCAGCTTACGCAGAGCAACGCCCCACAAGCGGTCATTGAGGGAGTGTTTGTGTGACATCGCTACCCTCTGTTTAAATTTTGAGCCAGGCGGGTGAACTTCAGTTGAATGTTGAGCAATGAGCCAACAGGAAGAATTGTACAAGTCTCTTACCACCACAACAAGAGGTGGACAATCTCACTTTCCTTTTCCGGGTGTCTGAAAACACATGCGGAAACCCATCACCAAGCTTAAGCGTATCCAAACCAAACTGAGAATGTCATGCACATGGAAATTCCAGAGATAAGATGGTCGGAAATGACAATCTCGCCGTTGTCCCGATAGCTGCACGGACATTGTGTGAGAATCTGTGCGTGTTTGTGTGAGAGTGTTTGTGTGTGTGTGTGTGTGTGTGTTTGTGAGAGAGAATGTGTGTGCGTTTGTGAGAGAGTGTGTGTGTGTGTTTTGCATGAGAGTGTGTGTGTTTTGCGTGAGAGTGTGTAGTTTACTCTCACGCCCGAGCACTCAAACTCCCCCCGGTTAGCTGGGACACCACTTTTGTCTTAAAATTTTAAGCTGCCGCAAAGAACAGAGTGTGACAGACTGGGCGAGAACAGAGGGTCTGTGTGTGTGTGTCTCTCTCTCTCTCTCTGGCAGCACAGTTAATCAGGATCTACTTTCTTTTCCAGGTCAGGTTACGCACCAGGCGGAAGAAGAAAGGTGTGTGACTGCGTCTTGTCAACGTGGGTTGTACATGTGTGGGGGGGGGGTGGGGTGGTGTGTGTGGATGATTCTTGATTTTCCCGCGATGTGCCGATAGGTGTGGCGACGGCTCTGAGCCGGAGGCGGATTTCCTGCCGGGATCTAGGATTGGGCGAGTGCTACGGCTGGCTGTGGAAGAAGAAGGAAAACGCCAGGTTCATGTCTCACAAATGGAACCGCAGGTGGTTCGTGCTGAAAGGCCCGAGTCTGTACTGGTACAGCAGTGAGAGCGTGAGTCTGACCGTGTGTGTGTGGTGGGGGTGGGTTCGGAGATGTGAACATAGGAACATAAAAAAATTGGAACAGGAGTTGGCCATTCAGCCCCTCGAGCGTGTTCAGCCACTCTATTTATTAGACCGTGGCTGATCTGTATCTCAACTCTATTTACCCGCCTTTGCTCCGTATTCTTTGATACCTTTACCTAACAAACATCTATTCACCTCAGTCTGGAAAGTTTCAATCGATTCAGCATCCTCCACCTTGACACACACCCAAACACTAGATACACCACAAACTTTCCCTCCCCACCCTCCCAATACACGAAGAACTCTGCACGAGAGACTTCCCGAACAGACGGGGAAAAACAAGGGGTGGGAGTGGGGGCAGCGTTAGATGAAATACCGGTGTGTCTCAAAATGCCCCTCATAGCCCTGTCACTGTGCCCTCGCCCTGTCTGACTTTGTTCCCGGGTTACTGGTTTACAAGGAGGCCATTTGTGGCTGAGTTTGGTTTCGGAGCAAGTGAGCGAGCGTGAATGAGTTTCTCTCGGCCGCTGACTAATTGGCTGCTGTTTCCCGCAGGACGAGAAAGCCGAGGGCTTCGTTAAACTGCCGTCGTACGTGGTGGAAGCGGCTGGAGAACACAAAAGGAAGTTGTAAGTTTGTTTAATAATCATCATCCTTGCATTTGATGCAGTGTTCTTTCACGTCTTCGAGATGTCTCAAAGCTTCACAGAATATACTGTAAAGTGAATTGACTGTATTTTTGTTGGCGAAATACGGCAGCCGATTGCGCAAAGCAACGTCCCACAAACAGTCGTGGATTGAGTGACCAAATTATTATTGATTTTTTTTTTCTTGAGGGATTATTATCAGGTGTGTGGAGTAAGGAAACGTGTCCAAGGTTTCGCCCTGCTGGGTATCGAACCCTCGTTTGCAAGGCGAGTGCTCTAACCACTGAGCTACAAGACTCCACTGTAGCTCAGGTTTGTGGGCACACCGCTGCGGGGAGGGGCTGAGCGAAGGCCAGTGCCCCCCGTATAGGGGGGACACAGAGACCCCGAAACAGACGCAAACTCCAGCTCCCACAAGCCCAATGTTTGGGGGAATAAAGTTGTTTTAGGGAGAACAGGCAGGAGAATGGCATCAAAAGATCTAACGAACCGGCTGAGTGGGTCTGATGTACTGGATAGAGAGTTTGATGTGATTAAACCTGTGTGCACTTACACGATCGCTTGCACGCTCGCTCAAAATCTCGCTCACTTATTCGCTTGCACGCTTGTTGGCTTAGAAACACGTTCGCTCACTGACATGGTCACTCACTCACCCACTCTCTCTCCCGCTCTCTAGTGTGTTCCAGCTCAGCCACAAGAAGTTTAAATCCTTTGTCTTTTCCTCGGAAAACGTGGATGAAATGAAGAAGTGAGTTGCAGTGCCGCAGCCAGAGCTCTTCTGAAATAAAGTCGTGTCTGTGCAGACAGTAACTCTATATATTAAACACAACTCGATCAGCCACTGCTATCCAGCCCAGCAATCCTTTCTCAGTTTGAGCCATTAATATAATTCCTTTGCTCATTCCCTGTCGAGCTCGTGCTGGTGCTCGCTCCCTCTCCTGGAGCTCTCCAGTCGAGCACCAGCCTGGGACCGTTTCCCCCGAATATTGTTGCAGCGGTGTATTAAGCAGCTTGTTTATTTCGCTGATAACCTGCTCCTTACACGTTCTCTTCCCTCGCCTCATCTGCTTGGCTATCATTGCAGGTGGATCAAAAGCCTGATCAGCGCCATCCGCAAGTACAAACCTGACAAACACTGGGAGAACAAGGAGGAAGGTAAGAGGCCCACTCCACGGAGCATTCACTATCTCTTAATCACTTTGCAGCGCTTTCACACATTTCGATGCTATTTAAAAATCCCAAGTTTTCATTCTAATGGGTGAAAATTGCTGTAATTGGTATAAGACCACCATCTAATGGCAAAGTGTGGGTAGTACAGAATTGCTCCTCACTAAATATTCAGAATAGATAAATATTTAATTGTTCCAGTTGCAATCCTGTGATTTTTTTTTTGCTTCCGCTAAACGTTGGCTGCAGACTGCTGGAGCGAGACTGAGACTGAGGAGGTTGATGACTCTCCGGAAGCCCCTCAGCCGTCCAATGCTCCTCGCACAACATCCTACCAGGTAAGTAATTTTGTGAGTCACAAACTGCAAACAGGACAAGTCATCTCCTTGCCCCAATTCTCTCTGTTCCACCGGCTAGGCTCTCTCTCTCTCTTCCTCCCTCACTCCCTCCCTGACGATATCGCTCTCTCTCTCTGGCCTGACGTTCTCTTTCTCCACTGACGTTCTCGCTCTCGCTCACCCTGATACACTATAATTAGTGTAGATAATTAGATTTTGGGGAGGACAAGTTTGCAGGGCTAAGGGTTAGAGGCCGGGGGAGTGGGATTGAATTGGATAGCTCTTTTCAAAGAACCGGCACAGACACGATGGGCTGAATGGCCTCCTTCCGTACAGTATAATTCAACGATTCCATGACACTCCCTATCTTTTCTCTCTCCAGCAGGCTCAGCGCCTCAGTGACCTCCCGCCGGTGGAGAGATACCGAATGAACTCGGAGGCTCGGGGTGTACCGGTGGCGAAGAAGCCCGAGAACACGGACACACTGACACCGGGCAGCAAACAGCACCACTCCCCGATCAGCCCCAGCCGCCCAGGTAGAGGTAAACCCCCGCCATCTCCCCACCTCCACAGCTGCTTGCTCAGTGTCCAATTCTCAGTCCAGCCTGACACTCCAGCGCAGTACAACAACAACAAGATTCCATTTATAGAGCGCCTTTCACGTCGGGAGGACGTTCCAAGGCGCTGTACAGTGTGGTTGGGGGGGTTGGCTGGGTGGTGGGGCATGTGGGAGAGGCTGCATTGTCAGAGACAACGTCCAATGAGACATCAATCACTTGATGGCAATTCACTGTGAATTATTTTTGAGAAGTTTGGTTCTGGATCAAATGCCAGTGGGACCCAGGTAAACGACAGGACCCAGGTTCTTTTCCCAGGCAGGGTGAAAACTTAGGCAAGTTTCCTTTCTCCACACGCCTCCGTTTACCCATCAGTAACTAGGAACCTGGTCGTTTGTCGATTGGCAGATCACGTACCCTCTGAAAAAAAACATTTGGTCACTCATTTGTCATAGTCAATCCACATAGTCAATCCACTTAACAATATGTTCCGTGAAGCGCTTTGAGACATCTCAATGAGGTTCAAATGATAGGATTATTATAACCCGAGGATGCTTCTGTCTTCCAGAGTCCATTCCCAAGTCCACTGATGAGCTGGAGGTGCTGATGAAGTGTCTGCAGCAGGGCGGGGTCTCGCTGATCGGAAAGCAGCAGCCGTTTTGCAAAGATTACCGCAAGTCCTTCATCAAACGCTCCAAGAACCCCATCATCAACGAGAAGGCACACAGGCTGCGGACCCTGCACAGCACGCTCAAGGTACGTGAGCTCCTTGAGCCGATCACCCCCATCCTTGCCTGGCTCCCTAAAGGATAGAGTTCAAAATCCTTGTCCCCGTTTCAAAGCCCTCCACGGGCTTACTCCTCACTTACCTCTGTGACCTGCAAACTGATTTCGGCCACAAATATCCAGTTACTTCACTTTATAGTATATCCTGTGAAGTGCTTTGAGACATCTCGGAGACATGATAAGGCACTATATCAAATGTAACGATTATTAATATTTATTTATTACCTACTAAGTGAATACTGACCTGCCCTCTTGCTCAGCAGACTCTAGTCTACTCCATATAGTCTACTCCACCCTATTATCGGCAATTGGGTCCTTCAGCCTTTCTGCTCCCACCCTATGTAACTCCATCCCACAGTCCCTTCGCCTTGCCCCCGCGCCTCCTTCAAGACACATCTCAAGATCCTTCTCTTCGACTGCATCTTCAGTCACCCTCCACCCCCAGCTTGGGTGCAAATCCTTGACTGTCCAATGCCTTAGGAAGCCCTCCCAATATTAAAGGCGCTATACAAATTAATTTATTGTTGTTCACATGCTCTACCTGTTCGAGTGGGTATATCAAAGATCTTCTGATACCATTAAATAAGAGAAGGGAGTTTCTCCCTCCCAGTATCCTGGCCAGCAAGCCTTTCATTCTCTCCCATGGTCTCGTTGCTGTGCACAAGGTGGTTTAAGGAGCTTGTTTTACTAACCCTCGCTACTTCAATGCATCCCAGGCAAAGGAGCTGGACTTGCAATCCATCAACAAGATCCTGGACGACAACCAGCTGACGGTGGACAAATTCCGATTGTGGAAGCAGGAAAACCAGGAGCTGCTAACGGATATCATCAAGAACCGTCATGCAGGGCGTCCACAAGGAGACAGAACAGGTCGGGATCCGCCAGAATATGGACAAGAAATGGGACTGGGGTCCACAACAAGCCTTCCATCCCAGGGGAGCTTTAGATTGAGTTGTGGAAAAGCCTCCCCTTCAGGAACTGATGAGGAACTGGGGGACGGGAATCATCTGTGGACTAGCCGCCTGTCTGTGAAATTGGGAGGCCCTAAGCAAGAGGTTGACGCATCCTGTGCCTCTGGGGTAGAGACAGGGCATGCAGTTAGCTCACCAGATCAAGACTCGGGTCCCAGCAGAGGGTCTGAGGACAGACCCCTGCGGCGTAGTAAGAGCCATCGTCTGAGCACCATTGTATGAGTGGGATGGGGGTGGTCTCCGAGTGTGCTCAGAGTCAGGCTCCATCCCTGGTTCAGTAAGATTTTCCAAATCTGTCTGATTTCTCCCATTTTCTTTGTCAAAGAAATTCAGTGCCTTCAAAGCAATCTGTCTTTATTTTTCTTGTGTGTCTCGATCCTAAAGCTGATGAAATCATTGAAGCAAGAAACAGTGAGCAGGGCCTGGGCTTGTGAGGCGGAGACAGCAGAGCCTTGTGTGTGTGTGTGTGTGTGTGTGGGTGGTGGGGGATTGAAGTGGTGCTGTTCTCCTACACATGGCCTTCTGCTTTTCCAACTTTTGTCTCCTCACTCATCAGTCCTTCCCACCATTGGTGGCGGAGCTTTCAACTGCTCAGGCCTCCAAGAGCCGGAAACCTCTCCCCAAAACTCTTTGCCCTGGGTATTCCCTCCCATATATAACCCTTCTGGAAAGCATATCTCTTTGACCACATGGTCAGAACCCTCACTGCTTAGCAATCCATATCACTCTTGTGAAGGGTTAATTTGACGTGAAAGGCGCTGTACAAGTATAAGTGAATGTTCTCCTAGGAAGCTATGAGTAACTGGGCTGCAATTTTAATCACTTTGATCTAAAGAACTCTGCAAATACCATTACCTGGTTCTGCTGCTCAGCTTCCATTTCAGACAAGTTTAATCAGTGTAAATAAGCTATTTACAGAATTAAATACAACATTTATCCTAGTGCTCTCCTGTATTCATTGGTTGAAATAAACTAGATTACACGTGAGGTGGCTGTTTCTAGTGAATCCAGCGAAACAAATGCGATTTCCATTGGGTTTATATATATTCTTTGCAGCTGTTATGGGGGTGGGGGAATGGGAAAAGACTGTTGAAGTCGAGATTTGAAGCAGATGTTTTAAAATGTCAGGGAGAGCAGTTGCACAAAGGGACAGACGCAGAATGTTGGGGAATGGAAAGCCATACAATGGCTGCTTCGGGGCAACTCAATTATTTAGTTCATAGAAAATACACAAGAGAAAGGGTCAGTCAGTCTGTATTGCTGAAACTCACACACTGTGAAACCTGGTTTAAGTACAGTATAGAAGGTGATTCATTGTGTCCTATTATTTACTGCCCTTCACAAGAAGAGAGCGGAGAGAGGGGGACAGAAGAGGTGCTCTTTCCCTCTCAATTAAAATTCTGACCACTGCGTTTGATTTGTTGGAGATGGCAGTAACGGCAGAGAGCTGGGAATGAAGCTATAATAATAATACTAATAATACTAATCCTTGCATTTCGGTACAGTCGCTTATCACAGAGGAAGGATGGCTTAACCCACAGGAATCACTATGAAATGTAGTGACTGTGTATTTGTAGCCTAATGCAACTGCACAATTGCACACAGCAATGCTCCGCAATGGAGCGAGTTTACACGCTATTTACGTGTGACCTCCCCCACACCCCCCCCCCACCAAACACCCCGCAACAGAGCGAGCACAAGGTAACCCTTCTCAAGCACATGGTGGCGCAGGGCCGAAGGTGGACCGACCGCACGTGGCGCTCGCAGGGTTTGAATTGCCCGCGCTGGCGGGCGGGGGGCGGGGCGGGGAGCGGCGCCTGCGCAGAGCGGGCCGAACGCGGTCTGTGAGGTCACAGAGGGCTTCCCCTGTGACGTCAGGACGTGTGGAAGGGGGACCCGGCACGTGTAGCGCTGTCGGGGGGAGGGGGGGGGGGGGGGGGGTAGAGCCCAAAGGAGCAGCTGAGCCACCATGACCTTCAAAGGACAGGCAACTCTGCGAAGGTTCACCACCATCCTTGTGAGTCTTTGCCAAACTTTCACCAGATCCCCACCCCACACCCACTCACCCCACACACCCCACACCCCCCAACTCCCACACACCCCACCCACTCACCCCCCACCCACTCACCCCACACCCACTCACCCCACACACTCACCCCACACCCCCCAACTCCCACCCACCCAATATACCCCCCACCCACTCACCCCACACCCACTCACCCCACACCCACTCACCCCACACCCACTCACCCCACACCCACACACCCCACACACTCACCCCACACCCACTCACCCCACACCCCCCAACTCCCACACACCCCACCCACTCACCCCCCACCCACTCACCCCACACCCCCAACTCCCACCCCATATACACCACCCAACTCCCACCCACTCACCCCACACCCCCCAACTCCCACCCACCCAATATACCCCCCCCACCCGCTCACCCCACACCCCCCAACTCCCACCCACTCACCCCACACCCCCAACTCCCACCCACCCAATATACCCCCCACCCACTCACCCCACACCCCCCAACTCCAACCCACTCCCCCCTCCCCCCACCCACTCACCCCACACACCCCAACTCCCACCCACCCCATACACCCCCCCCCACCCACTCACTCACTCACCCCAAACCTCCCACCCCACACCCACCCAGGCTCCATAACTCTCCCCTGGTGGTTTGCCCATTCCACAGCTCTCCAGCTGACCAGACAATTGGGAGGATGCTCTCAGATGCTCACTCACACTGCACCCCCCCCCCCACCCCCCACCACCCATGTTTCTGCCCTGCACTTGCTGTGGATGGCAACACACCTTTTACCTGCTTGACCTCAAGGTGCACCTGGTTTTGAGCCTCCTGAGCCCATCTTACCTTAACATTCAGGCTCGCGCAGAAGTGTGGAAACTTCTTTAATTCATTCAATTCTTAATTTAGAAGCTGGTTTTGCACAATAAATAACAGGAATCTGCGCACTAAATAAAAATTGAATACATTTTCCACACCCCTGCACAAGCTTAAACCTTAAGCAAACGTGGATTTACAGGCTAAGGTTATAATTTTCATAGAGTCCTGTAGCTCAGGGGTTAGAGCACCCGCCTTGCAAGCGAGACACTTGGGTTCAATTCCAGGTCAGGGCGAAACCTTGGGCAAGTTTCCTTACTCCACACGCCTAATAATAATCCCTCCAAAACAAAAAAAACAATAATAAATTGGTCATTTTCAATCCACGACTGTTTGTGGGATACTGCTGTGCGCAATTGGCTGCCGCGTTTTGCCCCCACACAAAAAAAAACAGTCAATTCACTTTACAGCATATTCTGTGAAGCGCTTTGAGACGTCGAGAAGATGTGAAAAAGCGCTATATCAAATGCAAGGATTATTACTATTATTAATTTCCAGCCACAGAATTTGACTGTAGTCATTAAAACCCAGTTCACTGTGAGAGTTTGCTTCACATCTCACTAAATTGTGCATGTCCTATCTGCATTAAAAATGAGTCCACTTTATTTTTAGCCTAGACTGTAGATAAGTTGTTTGTTAGTTAGAAGCACTCTCGCCTCCAAGTCAGAAGTTTGAGGGTTCAGGTCCCATATTGAGATTTGAAGCTTACAGTTTGGGCTGACTCACCAGTATAGTATAGTGCTGTACTCGTTGCGTTGTTAGAGGTGCTGTCCTTCAGATGAGACGTTAAAACCAAGTTGCAGCCAGGATTTTCAGGTGGGTATTAAATATCCTGTGACACTGTTGGAAAAGAAAGGGTAGTTTCTCTTCCTGTGTCCTGGCCAACTGGTTAAATTGTTCATTCACTTCATTGTTGTTTGTGGGATCACGCTATATGCAACTTGACTGCTATGTCTGTCTATAAATACACAGTCAGTGCACCTGGCAACAATTCTTTGTGAAGTACTTTCAGCATTCTCGGCACAGTATGCAATGATTATGTGGAGTCCTGTAGCTCAGTGGTTAGAGCACTCGCTTTGCAAGCGAGAGACCTGAGTTCAATTCCAGGCAGAGGGCGAAACCTTGGGCAAGTTTCCTTACTCCACACTCCTAATAATAATCCCTCCAAAACCAAAAACAATAATAAATTGGTAATTTTCAATCTACGACTGTTTGTGGGACATTGCTGTGCGCAATTGGCTGCCGCGTTCGCCCACAAATATACAGTCAATTCACTTTACAGTGTGTTCTGTGAAGCGCTTTGGGACGTCCTCCCGACGTGAAAAGCGCTATATCAAATGCAAGGATTATTATTATTATTATATGGAGTTGTAACTCACTAACTGCAGACATGGCTGAGCTGAGCTGCCTCTGCATGCTCAGAAACCGAACCTTAAACTCCACAACTCTGTAGAGCAATTTCAGGCTGAGAACTCGATTGATTTTCCTTCTTAAAGCAAAGAAAATTGGAGGCTTTCAAAATCAAAGAAAGAGAATGAAGAAGAAACTGGGGAGTTGAAGTATTCAAACTCTCGGTGACCAGAAATACTGATCAGAACACTAAATATTTCAATACTCGGTGTGTGAGTGATATTTGGAGCACAGAGAGAAAACAGCCAATGTATAAACACAACAACTTTAAATTCTCAATAAAAATCCTGTTGAAATTCCCCTGAACTTTCCCTTTCCCTTTCCCCCCGCCCCCCACTATGTCACATGTTTAGCTCAGCAACACATTAAACCAATTCCCAAATAGTTCTTTGCGGATTCTATTGAGTAATCATTTATCTCAAAGTGCTCCTATGACTGCAAAAATTGGAAGGATTCTGTATTCTGTGGCAGAGCGAGAGCCAATTCAAATCTCAATCTCTTTTTTGTTCTCGGCGTGTGTGCTTGAGTGAGGCCAACCTGGGGCGTGATCAAATGCACACCCTCCCTCACCTGCCTTAGCATCCCACAGACACCTTCCATCATGGCCAGACTGACCTGACGAGAATGTATTCTAGAATAAACGGCGTGAACAAGAGATGGAAGGTTAACTGCTGCCTTTTGCCCACAGAATATAGAATAAGTCAATTCACTTTACAGTATATTCTGTGAAGCTCTTTGAGATGTCTTGGGGACGTGATAAGGCACTATATCAAATACAAGGATTATAATTATTTTATTATTATTAGGAATTCACCTTATTGTAAGAATCAATCCGGCTCATACCCCTTCATGAGCTCTGATATCGTGCATTGATTTTCGTTGGATCTCCATGATGCAAGGATGCCATCAATTCCATGCACTATGCAATATCACATTGACCCATTCTTCTGCACTATCTCTTCTTCCAGGCAGGGGCAAAACATGAAATATATATATATATATATACAGTATATCTAAGATACACTTACATGCCTCCTATGAGCCCAAATTCCCTCCAGTTTCAGGTGTTCTCCTCATGTCTTCCTCGGTGCTGACTGCCCACACCTGCTCCATACACATCGCGTCTCAAACGGTGCCACAGATTTGAGGCAAAAAATAAACAGATGTTTTCTGGAGTTGATCCCAGCTTTTCCCTTTCCCTCTTAGAACCCAGTCCAAAAGCGGAGATCGAGCATCCCAAAGGAGGAAGTTTATTTCAAATTTAAAAAGTTCAAGGTAACACTCCATCTGCTCCATCTCCTTATGTGTTGAGGCATAATATGAAAATAATTGTGTGTGTGTATGTGTTCGTGCGCCCGCGTGTCTGTTTGTGTGTATGGGTGGAGTGGGGGGAGGACAAGGGTGAGACGAGGCTGTGTTTGGGAAGATGCCCTAACCCTTATTGCTTAACCTTAACAATAACTTTAAACCAGAAGGTAACCTTGAGCCTAAAACCTAACATGTGCCACATGTCCTAGTTGTAATTTTTGAATGGTTTGAGTATATCTCTCCCCTCCACATCCACTCCTTGTTAGCGTAGTGGATAGTGTGAGGCTTCCTGCTGAAGGTGAAGTGGGGGGGGGGAGGGGGGTCAGTGTCGGATGTTCTCAACTATCCTGTGCTTCACTGTAAGGATGAGTGGGAGGCAGAAGAATACATTACCCAGGTGATGCTGCACAGTTTGCTGGACCACGTTTTCCTGAGGACTCTGGCGGTTGGGCTGCTGATCGGAACGTCGATCGTTATCAGTTTCCAAACTGAACCTTCCTTCTCAGAGGTGAGGCTGACCGTTCGGTCAGAGGTTGCGTAAAATGGGGATGAGCCGCAAAGGGAGATTTAGATAAGCCGGGGGCTCTGCAAGTTTGAGAAGAGATAGTTCCACCTGTGCAGACCTTATAAAACACAAGAAAGTAAATACGGAACGATCGTTTTGCCTATAAAATAAACAGTCAATCCACTATAATATATTCTGCAAAGCACTTTGAGATGTCTCAATGATGTGTTGAGGCGCTATATCAAATGCAAGGATTATTATTATTATACACAAAGACTCGGCCCCATGGGTTCCAAATAAAATGTTTTTAAATTGGAATCCAGTGTGACGGAGCTTCTTGCATTGTGGTGCCCCCAACTCTCCTTCCCCCCCAGCACTGTGCTGTGCTTTCAGCCTGGACTGTGAGCTCAAAGGCCCCTAACTGGGAGTGGGGGGGGGGGGGGCTCAAACCCCGACCTTCTGACTCAGTAAATCTCTCAGTGACTTTGCTGGTTCTGACACTGAAAGGAAGTCTCTTGTTGCCGATAGTAAATGAGTGTCGATTGTTGTGATGGTGACAGACTGCGAGGCTGTGATTGTGGGTCGCAGGGGGACACACCTCCTTGCTCTGCTCCGCTCATGTCTGGACTCTCCCTAACTCTCCGCTTCCTCCTCTCAGAAATACTCTCTGATTTTCACCATGTTCGAGCAGATTGTCACCACAATATTCTTCTGGGAGATTTTACTGAAATGGTATTACGGCTTCTGGATATTCTGGACGGTGAGTCCTGAGCGGCTGATATCTCAGTTCAGGGCTGATATTTAAAATTTAGAATTTATGGTTGGAATATTCAACGATTCCTGGGCATGGCGGAAACCTTAGGCAAGATTCCTTACTCCACACGCCTCTGTTTACCTAGCAGTAAGTAGGAACCAGGTTGATTAGCGGATCGCTTTCTGGAGGTGCTAATCCCTTAAAATAATAATAATAATTTTGTCGCTCAATCCAAAACTGTTTGTGGGACACCACTGTGCGTAATTGGCTGCTGCGTTTCAACCTTAAAAATATACAGTTAACTCACCTTACAGTATATTCTATGAAGCGCTTTGAAATGTCTCAATGAAGTGATAAGGCGCTATATCAAATGCAAGGTTTAATATTATTGTGATATCCTGGGTTAGCAGCTGATATCCCAGGTCAGAGTTCGAAGCAGTCAGTTACTCCTCAATGTGAAATCTTGCACATCTTTCCTCTTATTTCCACTCTCTGTCTCCTCCGCTCCTATAGGAAGGTTGGAATATCATCGATTTCTTGGTTACCTTTATCCTGTTTGTGGGACCCCTGTTTATTAAAGATCACCAGTTATTTTACGTGCTGAGGTAAGAAATACTCCAGTCAATAGGACTGCTTTGGGTGCTTTAAGCGTATTGGCACAACCTGGAGACAATGAACACCAGGCCAGAGTCGGGAAGAAGAAGCCCGAGGAGCGAGAAGCGGCTCCTCCCTCTGCGCTCGGCCCACTCGCTCTCTGAACTCTCCTGCGCTTTGGTGCCTTTGGAAAAATTCAGCATTTTGCAGGTGTGAGGATTCAGAGGGAAGTCACAGTTAGTGATTTGTCCATCTCTAGAATCCGGACGTCATTTCTCCCTCCCTCTCCCCCCTTTCCTCACTTGCTCCCTCCGTCCCTCCCTCCTTCCTCCCACCCCATTTCCCTTCCCCCCCTATTTGAATCCCAGCCACATCCTTGTTGCACCCTTGTTCCCCCGCCCACCCCCCCCCACCCACCGTATGTTTGTCAGTGTTGATGTTCCGCCTGCAGGGTGCTGAGGCTGTTTCGAATGGTGAAGAGCTTTGTGGCTATCAAGGGCCTTGCCGTCATTGTGCACGTGATCTTACAGTCCATCTCAGACATGGCCAACATCATCCTTCTGATCATTCTCATCAGTCTGGTGAGTGCAAGAAGAGCGGCACTTACACAGAGAACTTTTCACCGAGAACTTTTCCCTCTTAGCCCCTCTAGCTGGGTGGGCGATAGAGGGAAGAGGAGTGAGACAACTCAAAAGGAGATTGATCCTGTGACGGGAAAGGTGGTGGTGGGGCGGTGGGGGTGGGGTGGGGGAGGGACGCGGTCAGATGTCCTGGAGGGATAAGATTGGATGGAATGAACAAATGGGCCTTCTTCATCCAAGCCGATCTGGTGATCTTGTCTCTATCTCAGGTTTTCGCTGTCTTCGGGGTGATCTTATTCAGCACCAGCGTCCCCAATTCCTTCGGGAGTTTGCAGGAAGCCATGTACTCGCTGTTCATCTGCATCACACAGGACGGATGGGTGCAGATATACCAAGGATTTATGTAAGAGTTCACCAAGCACTTATGTGAGGAACAGCCCGACACTTTGTGAGAATGTCTGGAAAAGCGCGGGGACCGTGGATGAGGCAGTTAAATCCATGTTATTATTTTAAGAGGGAATTGAATAAATATCCAAAACTTTATAAAGGGGTTGTGGGGAGAAGGCAGGAGAATGGGACTCTCCAAACCATCTCAGACCAAGGCCTGTCCATCAAACTGCTCCCTCTCTTGTAGAGCAAACGGCGGGTTGATAATGTACGGAGGAGCGCTCTACCTCTTCATCTTCATCATCGGCGCCTCGTTTATCTTTGCCAACATCATGATCGCCGTAGTGACGGCCAACCTGGAGCAAGCCATTTCGGAGGAAGAGGAGAAGCGGCATCTGATTCAGAGAGGGTCAGGGTACATGGCACAGGTAGGAGCGACAGATCCCCTCCTTGTAACTGCTGGGTTGGGAGGGGGAGAGGGGATCGGGGGAGGGGGTGTGCAGAGAATACACAAGCACACACGCGTCCCTCGTTAATAAATCTGATAAACCAGATTCAACAAAAGAATGCCGTATAAAGGCAGGGGGAGTGCGGCCGGCATCTTTGACAATAAAGATGTTTTATTTGATGTTCAGTCTAGATTGTGAGCTCAGAATCTCCAGCCTGTGTGTGGGTGTGTGTGTTCTCTAAGCGCTCAGAGGCGAGCTCACATGAAAGGTGCTGTTTTTTCCTCTTAATTCCTTGTCCGCCCAATGCTTGACAACTATCTTCTGGAGTGGAGTCCTGTAGCTCAGTGGTTAGAGCACTCGCTTTGCAAGCGAGAGACCTGAGTTCAATTCCAGGCAGAGGGCGAAACCTTGGGCAAGTTTCCTTACACAGAGCCTAATAATAATCCCTCCAAAACCAAAAAAAACAATAATAAACTGGTCATTTTCAATCTATGACTGTTTGTGGGACATTGCTGTGCGCAATTGGCTGCCGCGTTCGCCCACAAATATACAGTCAACACTTTACAGTGTGTTCTGTGAAGCGCTTTGGGACGTCCTCCCGACGTGAAAAGCAAGGATTATTATTATTATTATTTCTGTTGCCAGATGAAAGATGATACTGAGTCGAGTCCTGAGCTGGACCTGGTCAACATAGACAACTGTATCCGGCATATGGGCACCGGGAACAAGAAGGGGCCCATGAAGTACAGCGCCATGGAAAACCTGAACCAGGGCACGTTCGAGGAGTTCTGCTTCGTGCTACAGTCAATGCAACAGAATCTGCTGGTGTATTCCAGGATCCGCAAAGAACTGGACAGGTGTGGATGTCTATGACTCTCCCTATAATGTTTACTGTCTCTGTACAGTGTTACTCTCTCTCTCTGTATAGAGTTACTCTTTCTCTATACAAGTCTTAGTCTCTCACTCTCCCTCTGTACAATGTTTCCCCGTTCAGTGTTACTGTCAGTGCACTGTGAATTGTCTGGTGTTTGGTTTTGCACAGCATATATTTGGAGGTGTCGGAAATGGAGGTTAACCGAGACCAGCAGACCCTGGTGAAGCAAGAGAAGAAAATGCTGGACATAATGGAGACTTTAGCAGGAAGGAAAGTGGACCTCCTGAACACTCTCTTCCCACTGGAAAAGGTAACGAGAGCAAAGCATCCACACTGGAACTCCCTAATCCCATTCCCTGTTCTCCCACTCCCCATCGTGTGCGTGTTGGGGGCTCGCTCCCCCACGAGAGCTCTCTACTCAGGTTTATTGCTATAAATACTCCCCCCACCCACTCCCTCTCCCTCTCTCTCCCTGCAGATGTCACAGATGATCAACACGGGCAGCCTTAAGATGGACAAGAACGAATCGGATGAGAATTCAGCGAAACATTCTGCAGTGCATAGGCCGCAGTGATGGACCCAGCCCTCGCTCGCTGCTCAGCTCAGCAGCTCACTGTAAATACCATCAGCACTGCCTCCCACACAGAGCTTGGTACCCAACCCAGTGGAGTCAGACTGACCCGGTGAAGGGAGTGGGCACACAGCGCAGACCCCCCCCCCCACCACCCCAGCCCAGAACAAGAGCCCGAGGGTCCCTCGCCTTCCCAGATTTTGCTCCAAACGCTGGGGAGCGGAGAGGAGGAAGGGAGGAGGAGAAGGGGGGGGGATTGCAGGGGGCACGGTGGGACTGTGATGTACCCCTTGTGATGGGGAGAGAGAGAGAGAGAGAGAATGAGAGAGATAGAGATAGAGAGCGGATTAAGGGGAAGAGGAGCAACTACGGCAGAGTTTTAAAAGAAAACCACCGAAGTAAGTAATGGAACGACGGGCAGCGGAGAGCACAGGGCTCAGCTCCCCCACCTTCGCCCCACTAACCCCCCTACCCCACCCCGCTCCTCCTCTGCTGAATCCCAGCCACACGGCGCAGCAGGGATGGTGAGGTTGGCAATGCGTGCCACATTGGGGTGGTGCAGGTCCAGTTTTCCAACCCCACCTCCCCCCACCCTCCTTCGCTCTTCGGTGTGGATCTGCCGCGCAAAAAAAAACACCCAAGAGGAAACATTTCGAGAGCAGAGCTCAGATGAGATTAAAAAGTCATTCCGTGACTTCAGTGACACGTTTGATCGGTCAATAAATTAGATAAATAAAGAATGTGTTAAATACGCACACGCTCAGGTCAGTTTTGTTCCGCGAGTTACCCCCCCGCTCCCCCCCAACCTCATGCCAACCCACCACCACCTCTCCATCTCTCTCTCTCTCTCTCTCTTGTTGGCAGAATGAGATGGGCGATAGTCATAAATTCCGGCCCCGGCTTTTTATTTCGCTGCATACATTTGAGGCAGAATTAATAACGGAACAGCATCTCGCAACCGGACGCAACGCCGGTTGTAATGGGGTGGTGGTGGTGGTGGGGGGGGGGAAGAAATGCAAACGCTTGGCTTCGGGCTTCACCGTTTTTAGCTTAACATTTTATAAGCTTCGATCCGGTGGGAGACTGCTCCCGAGTTAAGAGCGGTTTCGAAGCATTTAGGGCGACGTTTCAAGTCCGTGGCTGAGCGCAATTCTCAAGGGTTTTTCCCGCGGGGTGCACCAACTCTCTCAAGCCATCGGTGGAGGGTTTGGGGACGGGTGGAACCGGACCTGCGAAGTTTCACACCGCGTTTCCTTGGGCTTGGGCTCGGCGTAAAATTTCACCCCCACGGGGGGGAGGAGGGGTGGGGGTGGGAATTATCCGATGATATCCTCCGGTGATTCAACTAGTAATCGACCGGGTAGGAGCGTTTGGCTTCTCGCCGAGCCTCTCGGCACTGGACGCACTGGGGGCAGCTGAAGCTAAGGGCCAGCGAAAGCCCCCCTAAGATCTGGACGCAGCTCCCGACCCACCCAAAGTACAGCGAGTTTCCGTAGCGGTACCGCGTGTGAGTGTCCGGGCTGATCTCCTGCACGTGGCTCATGTAGAGCGCGAGGGGGGTGATGCACAGGGAACCGGCCAAGATGATCACGACCCCGCTGGCACCAGCCACGTTCCGGAGCGGGAAGTCCATCCAGCAGCGGACTCCCACGCTGGCCATGATGATCCCCATCCCGCACACCAGCAGGGAGCTGAGCATCAGGGCTCGGCACCACTGCACGCTCTCGTCCCTCTGGTAGATGGTGGTGACCGGCCAGCATTGCTTGCTGTCCTCCAACTCCAGGCAGGACTCCCACAGTCCATCGTACTTCACGGCCGTGCTCTTGCCCAGGTTGACGAGCCCCTCTCGCCACTGGGGGGTCAGCACGGCTGTGAACACCAAGACCAAGCCCACGGGGGCACAGACGACCCCGATTATCATTGGCACTGGGGTCCTCATGGCTTCCGCACGCTCTGCCCAGGGCGAGGACCTGAAACCAAGCAGAGCAAAAGAAGATCAACACGCACAGTCAGCCCGAGCTCGTTTTCTGAACAGCCCAGAGGGTCTGCAAGGCTAACCCTGGAACTTGCCCCAGGAATCACAATACAACACTAAATTACATTTGTATCGCGCTTTTCAAGTTGGTAGGATTTCCCAAGCGTCGTACAGTCAGCGATTTGGACCTGAGCAGGGGGTGGGGGGGATCGGGATAAGGAGGGTGTCAAAACAGTCCACGTCCTTCCCAGGGCATTGCGGGGTCGAGTGCGGAGACTGTGTATGTTGGCAAACAGCGGTGACCACTTCGCAAAGTCCCACGATCAGGTAAATAAGCGATTTAAGGTGGTGGGGCGGGGGGGGAGGGGAGCTGTCGGCCTGGCCATCGGGAGCCCCTCCCTTATCTTGTCCAATAGCACCTGAAGGCTGATCGAAGGTCTACACAAGCGAGCGGGCGGGGCAAATGGATTTAAAGCTTCACCTGAGCACGATAACAAGAAGGACAACAGACTGCATTGATGTAATAATAATCTCGCATTTGGTATGGCGCCTTATCACTTCATCGAGAGGTCTCAGAGCACTTTACAGAATATAATGTGACTCGATGCTACCAGCGTAGCTAGCGCAAGGGTCACCAATTAGGACATTGCCGTGGTAACCAAGCGTTCAGAAGGCTTTTGTGGCTTCGGTTTGATCCATGATTTCACTTCTGTTTATTGGAATGTGTGGCAGCCTGAACTCCGAGCTAGCCTCCGGAATATCTGAGGACGAATTTATGCAGATTTAGTCACAGGAACCTTCATCCTCAGCGACAACTATCTGCTAATGTTTAAATCTCCATATTTTATGCTACGAATGTCTCCGGCAGCACCTTTCACGCACTTCAGCAAAAAAAAAGAGACTTCGAAATGGAGTCGAGAATGTTTAGGAGAGGAAAATGGTTGTGAAGCTCCTTGAGCTATCTTCTCGTCAGCCCTCATAATCTCATCTCCCGTCTTTCCTCATTCTTCTCTCTCACTGGCGTTGAGGCAACTTTAACGTTCCACCCCAAAAGGGAGATGGGACCCGGTTCCAAATGTCTCATTCAAATGACAGCAGCTTCAACAACCCAACGCTCTCCATCTCTCTCTCTGGCCATCCCCAGCATTATACTGGAGTATCAGCCTGGACTGTGAGCTCAAAGTCCCTGTCATAATAATAATTATAATAATAATAATCATCCTTGTATGTGGTATAGCAGTATATCACCTCGTTGAGATGTCTCAAAGCGCTTCACAAGATATATTGTAAACTGAATTGACTGTATTTTGTGGGCGAGACGTGGCAGCCAATTGCGCACAGCAGTGTCCCAAAAAACAGTCGTGGATTGACTGACCTAATTTTATATTTTTGGAGGGGTTATTACCCCCGGAAAGCAGGGTCTTCATTGACTCACTGGTTGATACTCACACCTATTGAACTGTACAATACAAACCAGAGGAAACTCGTTCAATGTGCTTTATTCAGTGTTGGACAGGTCTGAGCTCTTTGCATTGCTCTATCAGCTGCTCTGACTCCTGGATGCAGACAAATTCACATCCTGAGGAATGTTAATGGCTTTCCATAGGCAAACGCAAGGTTTTTAATTAAACTTTCACCACTCCATAGGTGGTGAATGGTGGTGCATGTCGCTATTTATATTCATTCAAATGCAAATTAGATAGATTTCTTGTAGAAAATAATAGTTTGGGATACTGTTTATGAGTAAATTAAGACATGAGTGACATCTAGTAAGTATATTAAGGCTCGGAGGAACCAGGCAACTTTGGATCTTAGGTTCCTAAAGCTTTCCACTCTGTTGCAGATGAATCCGTACAGATATAATTGCTACGAACATCTCCATTATTTTAGCATGCGACTACCAGGATGGTGGAAGGTTTTTGTCTAGCAATTTCTATGTACCTATAGTGAAGCTCTTTGAGGTGCGTAAGACCAAGGCGCTGTATCAAATACAAAGTGTGTGTTGGTGGGGGCGGAACTGCTGCATTGTCGGATGTGTTTGATCAGATCACTGCACTGTAAACTTCACTCAACTTTATAGTAAAAGTTCTGTCCAACAATTGGAGATGTTTCAACATGACATAAAGCACTATCAAACGGGAGGATCATCTGTGTTTGTTTGGAAGAGCCACAGGCTATTTTTTAGCTGGCAGCTTTCACTGGGGATTGTATCCCAGTGTATCGATTAATCTCTTTCTACCTGTCAGCAACAACTTGCATGTATATAGCGCCTTTCACACAGGGCAGCATCTTGGAGCGCTTCACAGCCTAAGGCTGAGACGGGGGAAATGACTGTAAGCACGGTCGAAGAGTGTAAGCAAGGTCTTGAGGTGTGATCTGAAAATGGGACAGGTGGAGGGATTGAGCGAGAGAGTTCCCATGTTTGGGGCACGGCCACCAAGGTTAGAACGGAGGGGACAAAGGCCAACGGGGTTGCACAGAACTGTCAATGCTGGGGCAAGACTTTAATAGGTTACTGCATGGTTCATACGTGAATATAAATCTCAAAATCAGAAGGTGGATTCAGCCTCAACCTTCTCTCCCTGACGGTCTCCCTGGTGATGCTCGAGTAAGTCTACAAAGCAGGAATTCAGAGTGCTGCTGTGCAGAAGGCTATGGGGACCGTTAACATCCTCATCAGCCTCCCCTTAATGGCATTAACACAAGGGCAGCACCTTCAGGGGTTTGCTCCTTTGAAACTGGCAGGAGAACATGAACTGAAAATTAATAACAGCCTTACACACACACACACACACGCGCGCGCACACAGCACTCTTGGCTGACTGATGCCTCGAACCAGCTAATTCTGCTGCTGAAGAATTCGAGCGCAAAATGGGACGCACGGGGGAGGTTGGACGAAGATGCTCGTGAGAAGCCTCAGACCTGGTGAAGGTTTACTGATGTTGGGAGCAGCTGGTGCGAAGGCTTGAACGTTAAGCAATCTCAGTGTGGCCGCGTGTGAGTGTTTTCTTTCACACGCAAAGAAAAAAGCGTTCAGATTTCTGCGATCAGCACAGCTGTAATAACAGCAGCAGATCCGGGAAGCAGAAACCCCCTCCCTCCTCCCATCCATCCCCTGCACTCCCCCTCCCCCCCCCCCACTCCTCACTCCCCCTCCTCCACCCACCACTCACCCCAAAGCTTTTGCCCACAAAACACAATCAATTCATGTTACAGTATATTCTGTGAAGTGCTATGAGACGTCTTGAAGACATGGAAGGTACTATATCAAATGTGAGCACCACTCTCCCGGAATGTTACTGTGGGACCTTCTGACATTATATCAGCGGATCCACACCACACAGCGCTGGCGTTATCAGTAATTAGTTGTCACACAATAACGATAATCGGAACAAATTGCCATGCAGTGTTTACACCTGTACTGAAGGACCGGTCGGCATGACAACCAGCCTAGCTTTAATTTCCTCCTTGGATAGAAACGAAGATGAGAGAGTGTGTGGCACTTCACGTTAGCTGTGCTCCCAGATCCCAGTTACTCTTATGAAGCCTAAAGATCTACCTTAATCAGGGTGGGAGACTAATTTGCCTTAAAATTTACCCTCGTGTAGATTTCTGTCTGTATAATTCTTCCAATCGGTCTTAATTTAGGAGGCGGTTTTTCACAGGTATAACAACAACAATAAATAGCATTTGTAACGTGCCTTTCACGTCAGGAGGACCTCCCCAGGCGCTGGACAGCTGAGATTTACACTTGTCTAAACAACCAAGTTTAGAATTTCTTCCACAGTTCCACTCCCGCAGGCTAAGACTGGATGGAATTCCAGACCTGTGCTTGAGTCACAGAAATAAATATGAAGAATAATCCTTGCACTTAATGCGGCGGTTTCACGTCTAGAGGACACCTCAATACGTTTCGCACGATTGCACGTGATTTAATGTGGTGACTGTGTATTTTGTCGGCATATCGATTGGCCTCCTTGTCAATACATCTTCCCACTCCCCACCCCACACCTAACCCACCCCAGTGTGAGCTCAAAGCTCCATAGGGTTTGAACCCACAACCTTCTGACTCAGAGGCCAGAGTGCGGAAAATGATTTTTCCCTCCCCCAAAATACATGGCTTTTGGAGATACTGATCGATCCTAATAGTAAGGGGAATTGTAACCCAGTTGCTTTAATAGATGACATTCTGCTGACATTCCTGTATTGATTTCTGTTTTAGATAAAAGACAATATAATGGGAGAGACAGAGCGAGAGACACACACACACACAGGGAGTCTAAAACTTTCATTCTAGCGTTCAGCACTGAATTGACCCCCACTCTCCGCCCTGTCAGAGGCTGATCTGCAATAGAATAGCTTGCAATCCCCCCGCCCCCACCTCAACACATACACACAAACCAACCCCAAGCCATGAAATAAAATAACATTCATCCCAGGGAGTAATATCATTATTACCGACCAAGCCAGCATCCCAACTTTGTGTCCAACAGGATTCCACATTCCTGGGACCTGTGGGAAGCTTCATCACACCCGCGCCCCCCACCACCCACCCCCACCCCAACACACACACCCTAATCATCCCCTGATAAAGCATGTCCTATTCAGCCGTGGATTCCCAAAGGTTAAAGGAAGAGAAAAGCAGAGAAAAGGTAGCATTTGCACTCACCAAACCAACGTAAGTGCAGAGAACGGTGCTGTTGCAGTGAGTTCTGAATCCAGTTACTGAGAGAGTGAGAGACAAAGCCTCTCGTACAGGGAGCTGTCACAGTGGATCTGGGAGTGTCTGATCTCCCTCCTCTGCCCCCACCTACACTTTAATCTGAATTATCTCTTCTCCTCTCTATCTCCCTGGCTGCGCCACCAACTCTCAGCTTCACCTGAGCACCACCTGCCCCAGGATAGCGTTAACCACTATGCTACGAGATTCCACATAATAAGAATAATTATAAGAAAAATTACAT